GAGGGAGGGTTTGTTGTATGCCACCTCCAAGACTGCAGCTCACTTAGGAGATAAGCAGAAAATGTATATGCAGGACATGAACTGCATCATCAGACTATTGGTCCAAACAGTGAGAATCTTTGGATGAGCAGATTTCCATCTAGAAAAGAAACCAGTCCTCAATTTTTAAAAACAAAAACAAAAAAAACAGCACCACACTCACCTCCTGCCCTGTAGCAATGTCTATCGCTGTATAAACAGTACCCGAAGCCCTAAGGAAAAATAAAAAGTGGAGTCAAGATGTGAGACATCGTGCGAGATGACAAGAGGAATAAGAATATCCACACAACTTAATTGAGCATGTTAACATGAGAAACATCAGCAGGTTTCCCAACTTAATGTGGTTATGAGGATCACCTCTAGCATCCCTACACTGAATCCCTGCAAGCATCAGGATAGGATGTCAACAGCATCTTCTCTACACCTTGGGGGCGGGGGTAATGTAAAGTTGGGTATCATCTGCGTATGGATAATACCACACCCCGAACAGTGATATGACCTTTCCTGGGGATTCCATGTAGCTGTTGAGTACAGGGGAGAGAGAACTGACCCCTGTGGCACCCCACATTTCAGAAGCCATCAGGCTGACCTCTCATCTCCACACCACAGGACACCCACTGAGGAAGGAGCAGAATCATGGCCAAGAATGCCTCCAATCCCCAAGCCCTGTTGATGGTAACATGGTTTTTGGTATCAAAGGCTGCCAAGAGCTCCAACAGGACCAGGAGGGGGCACTACCCTATCCAGGTCCCAAGAAAGATCATCCAAGGGAGCAATGAATGGCACCTGAAGGCTGACTAAAAATGACAGCATTCAGAAGGATGCACAAAGTGGGAATAAGCCCGTATGATCTTTGAAATATAAATTAAATTTCAATGCCTTTCATTTCAGGAAAGCCAGAATATTTAGTGAGGAGGCAGACCTATGCATTCCCAGAGCCCTCAAGCTAAAAATCTGAGTAAATGAAGCACAGTGAAATATGGTAATCTTTGATGGAAATCGAGTTTCCTGCCTGTGTGTGTGATTATATATAATTATATATATATATACTGTACCCATACATACATATGAGAAGCCTATATATATGTGAATAACATTCTATTATAATACAGTAAGAAATTGCACACTTGACAGTGATTAAAATAAACAAAACATAACAAAGAAAAAAAGGACTTTAAGGAAGAAAGGGGAAAAAAAGAACTTTTTTAATACCAGTACAATATAAATACAATATCCACATGATACCAATATCATGTATGGTTGTATGTATGTCTGTTTTTGTTTTGATTTTTTTTTCTTTGTTTAGTTAACTCAGTGTAGTCCAAACTTGGCCACTTTAAGATGAGTGGACTTCAATTCCCAGAATTCCCCAGCCAGCCATGCTGGCTGGGG